TAGCTTACTTTACTGTAAGAATATAGCATATAATACATATAACATGTGTGTTATATGTGTATGTGTTAATATGCGTTCATTGTGTTAACTGTGTTAAACGCGTTAATTGACTGTGTTATTGGTAAATGTTCCAGTCAACAGTAGGCGATTTGTAGTTAAGTTTTTGGGGAGTCAAAAGTTATACAAAGATTTTTCCACTGCGCGGGGCGGGGGGGGGGGGGGGGGGGTGGTCGGTACCCCTAACCTCCACGTTGTTCAAGGGCCGACTACATATCTACATTTTTAATAAGGTGCCATTTAGGCACACAAAGGTACTGTTGAGAAGTAAAAATTTAAGTGGCTGAAAGCAGCTGTTTGCCTTAGGCTCAATAAGAATGCAATTTGCTAGTTAAATAGAGATGGCAAAAAAAGTTTGCTTTAAAAATGATATTTCAGGGGCGCCTGGGTGGTGCAGTCGGTTAAGCGTCTGACTTCAGCCAGGTCACGATCTCACGGTCCGTGAGCCCCGCGTCGGGCTCTGGGCTGATGGCTCAGAGCCTGGAGCCTGTTTCCGATTCTGTGTCTCCCTCTCTCTCTGCCCCTCCCCCATTCATGCTCTGTCTCTCTCTGTCCCAAAAATAAATAAACGTTGAAAAAAAAATGATATTTCATGTATATTTATACTGAAACAGACGCCCCTAATATGAGTGAGGGATAGGGGGCCCTGTCACTCCATCAGTGTGACCCTTGACCAGGGCCCCTTCACCAGAGAATGGAGTGAAACAGCGCAGTCAAAGGTGCTTTAAGGGCACAAAGCCGAGGGGGAAACCTTCACAGACAAGGTGAGCCCAGTGCTTGTTACACACTAGGGCACTTGACCTCACGTACCCCCAGTGACCTAGGAGAGGTGTCGTAGGTGAGGTAGCAAGTGACACTCCAAAGGTTAAGTTGACAATCCAAGGTGCCACCGCAGGCACAGGACACAGATAATATTTGAACCTAGGACTCCGGCGTTCATTTGCGTATTCCAACTCTCCATAAAGCTGCTCACAGACACAAGATTTTGTGTCTCGATATCTCGTGATGTGTGTATTTGTACAGACTTTGTGTAACTTTACAGGGCACGTGGCGTTTTTCTTCCTACGGGAAGCATCTCTTTTGAAAGGTGAAACATGTAATAACCAAGCAAGGCAGTTTACCTCTTTGAATCAAAAATCTATTTCCTCTGTCATATTCGAAGCAAACAAATCTTAGTTTGGCCAAGGGTTTCTATATTAAAGTCTCTTTAAAATACATCTCTGAAGTTTTTCAGTAATTTCTTATGGCTTTATAAACATCCTCTAAAGTATTTTGGTATCTAGATAACAAAAGGCCCCCCCCCCAATACTAATTAGCAATAATAATTTCAAGTAATCTGTCAAGAATTTTAGAAAGTGCTGCTCCAACTGGAAAATGCTCATCTCTTTGCTAATGACAAAGCGTGTGTGACTTCAACAAGCATGTCAGCAACATTATTTTTACAGCACAGAGAATGCTAAAGTGGCACACATAGGATAACTGCATGCGGATTAAGGGCAGTGCATCTATATTTTAGGACTCGGTGGCTCAAAAATCCAAGTGAGCCATAAGAAAATAGCTTGGGTAGACGGTAAATGAACGCTCGGTCAGCTGGAACAGCATTTTGCGTACTCGGTAGCCGCGCTCGTGATCTGAGCACTTTGGAACACCGAGTTGGGATCTGTTAGGTCTGCCTCAAGCCTTCTACCAAGACACTTAATATAACAGTCCGGTTATAACAATGTACTGGCCTGGCACTCCCTCCTTCAGCTACTGTCATTGGTTACTTTGGTTCAAATCAAGACTATGGAAAAAGTTAGCATCCTTCTGGGAGCTCATACTTATTTTAAATGATGGCCCCTCTGAAGCCCTTTCAAGGCTCTCGGATCCCCCAACATACGGAGGTGAACAAGGGCCCCAGTTGAGGGCTGCTTCAGAAGCATAACGGGCAATGAGGAAAACGATGGGAATGCCATAAAGGGAATGGGCAGGAATGTGGGGGCAGAAACAGAAAACAGAAGGCACGGCTTCTCTTCAATGTCACGCAGAAATCAGGACCAGTCAAAAGAGGATTACCCTTAGGGTTGGCTCAAGGAGAGACATTTAAGTTACACTGCCATCGATCTTTTTATACTCTCCAAGTGTTTCAATACCACCGAGTGGTTAAATGGCTTCTTACCATTAAGACAAGTTTTGGAGATTTGTTGCTAAACAGTGGTACGTTTTGCTGAGCCATGTCACGCATCAAAACCAGGAACATACCCCAACTATATATTATATTTTGCTTTTGACACACGGAAAAACAAAATGATAATATATGTTTTTTTTTCCCCCTAAGCAGTAGATAATGAATCTTCTGGTCTTAAACATACTTCCTGTTTCTTCATCTAGAGCCCTTAGAAATGACATATTTCTCCTAGTGAGAGATGCCATGCCAGTTCTAAGATGCTGGGTGTAGTTATGACACACGCAGGCATGCGGAGAGGTCGAAAGCTGGGAGCTAACTCTTGGAGATCCACCTTATTAGCCTTCCCAGGGTGCTAATAAATCTCCACTATGCGGGGTGCCGCCTGGGGAAGCCTGCCTCCTTACCTTTGATATGGGGAATGAAGTGGTGTCGGAAGGGGGAGTTGGGGCGGGAGTCGCTGTGGGTGGAGCTGAGGCTGCTGGTGCGCAGGCGCACACCAGGAGACAGCAGCTCTGTGCGGCAAGGAGTCAGGGGCAGGGCAAGGTGGAAACAGAAAAGAAGAACAGAAATTAACACAGGAGCAGGGACAGCATCCTCGTTCCAAGGGAGGGGGCGGGGCGGGAAATAAAGAACGTTAATCAGGAGTCTGAAAAAGGAGGAAGGAAAAAGGGTTAAGAACGCACCTGCTAAGGGTCAGGCAAAGTGGGGAGAATGTGCAAATAGGTTCAGGTCGGTAGAGAGTCACTCTCTGAGAATAAATGGCTTTATGAGAAGGAATGGCCACCGGGACATTCTCTGTCAGGATGACACCAGCTACTGTTGAGCCAGTACCGGTGCATCATCTAGATTCAGAAATAGCTGCTTTTAAAAAAAGACACCTGGCCAAACAGAACCCCCCTGACGCACATGTGAAAAAAAAAAAAAGACAATTATTTCAAGAACCTTGAAAAGAAGTACTTATCTGTAAGGGTCAGATTCTTTTTGTTTGTTTGTTTGTTTTTAAGCTGCAAACTTCTCCCATTAGAGGTTTAATTTTATTCTGCCTGCGGAGAAGGAGGGACCTGTTCGTGCTCCCCCGGTGGCGGAGAGCTACTTAGGATCCTGTGAATGGCGTGGTGGCGGCACTGGGGGACCGGCGGCTTCCTGATCTTGGAAGGAGAATGGGCCATTAAAACCAAACCCGGCCCTGGGGGGGTGGGCACCACCACCTGGCATCTAGGACCCACGGAGTGGATAATCAGAGGTATCCGATACCGACCATAACTCTGCTGTCAGAACCCCGCCAACTCCACGTGACAAGGACAGATCTTGAAAAAATAACCGTAAGTCCTAATAATCAGATGTCCATAATATACTGTGGAGAGGGGGAAGTGCACTTAGAATGGGGAACGTCCTAAAGGCTGCTAACATCAGAACCACGGCTGGAACAGACAAATCTTTCAGTGCTCAACAATGACATGATCTTTTAGGGAAATAATTTCCCTGGCTGACCACCCCCTCGCTTATCGGGGGCCTATAGAACAATAATTTCCCTGTAGCCCCACGTCATCCTGACAAGGTCATGGCCATGGCCTCAGTGACCTCAACATATGCCCTATAAGGACAGGCAGTCACATAGAGGATTTCTTGTCCCCCACGTAGACAAGGGCTTAAATCTAGACCCAGGTCCGGGACATGAATAAAATGAACATAGCTGCACACCAAAAAAAAAAAAAAAAAAAAAAAAAAAAAAAAAAAAAAAAGAAAAAAGAAAAAGAAAAAAAAGAATCCATTTCCTGAAAAATTCTCATGTAACATAACTCTACAAATACCAAGTACTTATGACCTAGGGGGAACTATACATTACTGAAGAATCATATACTAAAAATTCGGTCCTCTATGAGTATTAAATCTATAGCCTTAAGGAAAAGACTGCAGCCTTTTTATATTCTGTTCATTTCCTCTGGTTTTATTTTATAAAATAAGTTAGCACATGTCCTGTTCTCATCAGCCTGTGCAGAACAAGAAGCTTAACATGAAGTCTTCGCAGATGTACACGGCCACCAAGTTTGTCTAGAAGGCCAGAATCTCCTTGTGGGAATCTACTTCTCAGAGAACCCTGAATCCGTGCTGGGATCTCCATTCTTCTGTTCCACACATGAGACACCCACTAATAGTCATAGGGACTACACCGTGCATAGTCACCTGAAGTCCACAACTATTTGATACTCTCTATCATAACATGTCTCTATTGTTTTTCTGTTTTCCAAGTCTGGCTAAAAATCTCAGGGCTAGAATGGATCTGAAAAGTTATCAAATACAACCCTGAGGTTGTATATAATACTTCCTTCTAGCAGGTGCTTACCCCAGCATGCTTAGTAACACCGTGTGCCTGGACCAGGGAAACACAATAAACACACCAGCAAATGGCTAATGCTGGATTTTAGATGATGCTGATGTGCCTAAAGGGTGCATCAAATTCTTTTCTTTGGAGATCTTCATTCTAAGTCTCCAAGTGATGGGATCTTCTTCAAGTCTAAAAATATTTTTTAAAAAGGCTCCCTTGCTTCTTGTTGTTCACTGTCAAAATGTAATTATTTAATAAATCATAATGAATAGAACCATAAAATAACACAAACTGTAGTTGGATTTAAGTGTCCTTTTTTTTTTTTCTGGGAAAAGAAGAGATCTATTTGGCAGCTAGATTCTTAACGCACTGTCAGTGGTGGGGAAAGAAAAATCACACAGCCAACACAGACTATCATATAGAGTGAATCTCGGGAACAGGTGCCCTTACCAGGTCTGTGAAAATGCTGGGGAGAGCGAGACGTGGTTGGAGTGTAGCTATGGCGGCTGTAGACGGGGGAGTTGATGGAGCCCTGGCTGGTGGACCGATGGATCACCCGGTCCCGAGCATCCTGGTAGCCCTGGAAAGAGAGTACGAGAAAGCAGGAGCGTAAGACACTCATTCAGGCTATCATCAGGTCCAAGGGAAGTCAAGTTCTACAAAGGCTGCCCCGGAACTATCATGCCTGCCTGTTCATGTGCACATTTTAGGGCCATATCCTTAAATACGTACGCAGAGGAGCATTCTGTGGTTAATGCACTTTGTTTGAAACCAGTAGTACCCGCATTCGGCCAACTTTTAAGAAGGAAAATGATAAATCCCAGTGTCGACAGAGCTCTGGGGAAAGTAACTCTGATGGTCACATTTATACTGTGCTTTTCAGTTTTACAAAGTGTGTTCACATACGTCATTTCATCTGATTTGTGTAACAAGGAAGGTAGAACACAAGGGCTGACCTCCCTTCTCCACAAAAGCAGAATGTTTCAGAGCAGGCAGGAGACCCCTGTGTAGGCGTGTAGCTCATGAAGGCAGAGCCCGCTTCAGGACCAGCCTCCCGGCTCTCATCTTTGTTCTGACTGCCAGCCCACACTGTCCCTACCATTGATCTGGTGACACTTTAAGTTGATTTGCCTGGAGAACAAGCCGGTAGTGGCCTCAGACCCAGGAAATTCTACTTCCCACTTTGTGAAACAAATCCCCAGGAAAAACAAAAAGGGATCTTCGAATGGAAAAATGCGCTCAAAGATATCTATCATACCAACACTTACAAGGATAAAACTTCCTCAACAAATCGGGGAATAATTAAGTGAATCAGTCATATCAATTCAACGGAATAATATACCACCACTAGTGTTTTACAGACCAGTGGTATTTCTGTTGTGGTTTCGTTGAATGTCCTCCTTCAAAAATTCCAGTCTAGGAAAAGTCCAAGTTATTCCCCAAATCCCACCCGTTACAATTTTCAAAAAACGGTACTTACTTCTGCTGACGGAGTCGGAGATAAAGTCCTTGGAGACTGGAAGAAGAAACGAGAATTTAAAGTCACAGCGCGTGTTAATTCGTTTTCAGTTTCCTTAGCTGTTTATCAGACTCACCTGGAAACAGTATTCAAACTCCAGTGCCAGCTCCCTTTGCCCATCCCCTCTTCTGGTTCAGTGAGTTGAGAATGGGGCTCAGACAGGGACACGGAAACCAAGATTCTGGGAGGCTGGCGCACATCCCTGCCTGAGAACGGTGGGGTCCTGATAAATAGGTTATCGTGCTTGAGATGCTTAAGCTACACAGATTGGAACTATTTTCCCCTCTAGGCTCAAACTATGCTCAATTTACTAGTATGAGTCACCGTGTCTGCCCGAACACAGACTTCTATAAACGTGGCTGTCGACTGAGGTACCACCACGGCAATCATGTAAAATTGTTTGCTAACCGGCTAGTAATAACCAGGTCTGTGGCATCCAGCCCTTTTTCACTGGGACACCTGTAGGACTCACTCCCCTTCCTCGTGAGGTCTCGACACACATGTGGTGCCACACAGTGCTTTCTGTGACTCCTATTTAAAGGAGCGAGCCGGCCCCACGTGCTTGTTCCTCACTCTATTTCATTTTTCGTCTAGCACGATACCCTGTACGCCTGTATTAGGTATCGTTTGTTGTCTGTCTCCCACATTCCGCTGCAGGCTCCACGAGGGCAAGAACTCTGCCCCTTTACGATGAAGTATTACAGTGACTAGAGAGGCTCCCGGCACGTGTGAGGTGCTCAACAAATATTTCCTAAACGAATGAATGAAATGTTTACAATTAAAATGCCAAAAGTATTCAAATAGAATGAAATGTAAACGAAGCACCTGGCCAGTGGTGGACTTCTCAGCTTCAGAATTTGCCTCTTACGCCCAGTTCGCAAAAAGCACTTGGGCTCTCTTGCGCTGTAAGATTCTTCGAGCCCCACGGTCTCGGCTACAGCGACAGCCTATCCCTGGGGCGTCTTAGCTGGGTGAGAATGGGCCCCGTGAGGGCAGGAGCCAGGCCTGACCCTGCTGACAGAGGCTTCTGGATCTTCCCTACTCATGCCTTCTGAAGGCACAAATGGCTACACAGAATGTCAAGTTCATTCCTCCGGTGCTTCTAAATTGGCACCATAGGGATTCTTTGGGAAACGTGTTAATAACAACTAAAGGAATAAATAATCACATAGCTTGTCAAGTTTTCTAAGTCGCAAGATTTCATGTGTTGGGGAAGAGTTCCCAAATATGTCTGATTTCTGATCCGGGGCCATCCTCCCACCGAGATTCGGTCCTCAGAGAAACGCACAGGTCACCACACTAGGTAAGGACAGTATCGATGCTGAGATCCCCGCTATGAGAGAAGCCAGCATTTCTGTCGAGCACGTACGTGCCGGGTACTGTTCTAATCGAAATATTTCACTTAATCCTCACAGAAGTCTCTGAGGCAGGTATTAATTACTATCTTGAGTTTACACATGACACTGAAACACGTACTTTTCCCAAAGTCGTACGGTTAGTAAATATCGGAGTCTGACTTGAAACCCTAAAATGTGCGCTTCAAAGCCCAAACTTTTAGCGCTTGATGTTTTACTGCTCAAAACGGAACCGCTGGGAAACACACACACACATACCCCCAAAACCTAAAACGCCGTAATACAACTCACCTCCCCCCACTTATCTGACTTGAATATTAGCAAATTCTCATCCACTTGCTCCAGGACCAGCTCCTGCGCACTCTGTTCAGGAACTTTCCTTTTTCCTTTATCCCCCTATGCAACACTCCAGGGGCCAGTGGGAACTGAACAACGCAGGCCAATCAACCTGCATTTGAACAGCTGTAGATGCAGTTACAGACATGTGACCACTAGGGGGAACTACACGAAAATGGATACCCCTCCTGCCCCGGGGGCCATTTCAAGGCCGAGCTCTGCTCTGGAATAAAACCCAAACTGAAACATAAGTAAATAAAAAGAACAAGATATATTACAGTTATGAATAAATATAAGCATCGTTATAAAACAAATACTCTATATGGATATGACTGAGAACAAATTAAACAGAATCACCGTGCTTTCACGGCTTTTTTTCATCTAAGATCTCAAAGTGCCGTGTGCTGTTAAATAGTTTACAGTCTGTTTTAACCTTGGTTGAACAGCTAATTTCAGTTCGGTACTCGGGCAACATCTCTCTGATTGGACTCAAAAGAGTCTACAGGTGATTCCAATTTTCAAAATAAAAAGGGAAACAAGTTTAGATCAAGTTGAAAATGCCAGAGGAAACAGACCAGAGCCCACATGACTCAGGCAGGAGGTGAGAGCAGGGAGCCCCCAACCCTGGGAAGGGATGGGAAGGACCCTAAGGGGCTGAGAGGCTGTGCTCCAGCCTCTGGACCATTGATGTTGGGAGAGCATGAATAAGCCCCAAGGCCACAGGTAACGACTTCAGTTGTAGCTGTCACTTGCTGAACATTTACCAGGAGTCTGGCTCGGCCAAGTGCTTTAATAGATGAGTTTATATGGATTAGTTTTAATAGATAATAAATTATCTAGTTATTATATAGATATTAACCTTTAACAGACAGTTTATTTAACCCTTACTAACACCCTATGAGGTGAATTCTGTCATCCTGTTTTATAGATGAACAAACTAGGGGTCAGAATGGTGGTTACATGGCCAAAGTCATACAAGCAGCATGTGGGAGTTCCCAGGTTGATCCCAGGTAATTTGATTCCAGAACCCTGGCTCACATCACTGTGCCATACCGCGGTCTCCACCTCTCTACTCTTCCTGTTCTTGTACATTCTGTCTTAAGGTGCTGCAGACTGTAGCTGTCATAATTTAGGGTGTGTGTTCTCTTTCCTCATGATCCCCGTGAAGAGACTTCAGTTTGTCCCCAGATCGAGACCCCAGAAGACTCTCCCTCCATTATTCCGTCTGCCCAGCTCACAGATTCTCCCCTGACAACTTTGACTTCCTTCCCAGCCTGTCCGTTCTGCTATCCCACAACCTAGTACTAACGCTTACTCAACCTTCACTGTTTTCTCTGGCTGGCCTGCTCTTTCACTCCTCTGTCACCTCCTGAGCCCAGGGATGGTGTGATAGGTTTTTGGGTACCTCAAAGCTGGTAGGGAAGTCTGTAAATAATGGGCAGTCCAAAGGACCCTCTGGCCTTATTTTGATTCCAATCAGTTTTTCATACACACGTGATAAAAGAGAGTTGTTGTATAACTCACAGCTTCTAGAATTTATTACCTCTCCCAGGCTCTGCCTCTCCTGTTTGTCCTCATAGCCCGAAGTGTAGAAAGGCTCATAGGTAATAAGATCTGGACGCTCGATATCATATATTGCCTTGACCTTGGGAATGGCTGCTAAATCCTTATAATCCAGGATTTCATTGTCCACCTTTGCCTGGCAAAGTTAAACAGAAAGAAAAATTCTTCTTCAGTCTCATTTCTTTGCGGAACTATGGTTAGTACATTTCACATCCTGCTCAAAAGGTGAAGACCTTAAAAATAAACAAAACCCAAAACATTTTGCTTAGTTTTAAAAACAAAAGCATTCTGCTTTAGAAAGTTGCCAATTTATACCATATATTAATCACTTTTTTTTTTTTTAAACTCATCAGAAGCTTAGGAAAAAGTCTATGCAGAATAAACCAAGTAGAAAAGCCTAAAAACCTTCAGGATAATTTTCCTAAATTTATTACAGAGATGGAAAAGCTCAAACAGATGGTCAAAACAAATCCTCCCAGATGGCTAAAAACAAGAACTGCATATTTGATCAACTAAATATTTAAATACCTTTGTGGCAGAATTTAAGAATACTCAGTATCAGCATTCTGGAAGGTATAATTAATCCCCAAGTATCTATACCCCACTTAGGCACAGCAATTTTTAAACTCCTGCACAGCATTGTTGCATTTTATGGGTCACTGACATTGATGGCCACATTCGCATATCAATTTAATTACCCGAAGGAAAACATGATTGAGAAGGCTGATCTTCAAAAATGAAAACTGGATCTCATAACAGAAACAGAAGTCATTTCCAATTATTCTATTTTGGGTTACCCCCTCCACTATCACAATCTGCTACTTTACCTGCCCCGGAAGCATCTTTTCCAGAAGCAAATACTTACATAGATAGTATGACCTGGGGAGCCAGGGATACTGGAACCTGGTCTAGAATAAATGCTTTCAGAGGAAGTCCTGGTAGGCTGTAAAGTAAACGGCACCTTGTAAGATTTCACACCATGGCTTCAGAATCAAGACTGGCCTGCATCCCTAGCATTTACTGCACACTAAGCTGGCTAAAAAAAGATTTGTGACTATTCTGAAGAAGGGAAAATATAACCTAGAAAGACAGAAAAAGGAGAACTGGCTGTGCAACCAGCCTTGAAAATGCATTTGGGGACTTTTCCTTTTACCGTCTCTTCCTGGTCCCCTCCAATGCCTTCTGGCTCTACCGTCCGGCACACATGTTTCCCTCCACCTCTGTTGCCACAACCCCAGCCCCAGTCACCACCTCCGCTCATCTGGACGATTCCAATGACCTTCTCTGCAGGTTTCCTGCCTTTGTTCTTGCCCTCTTCAAGTCCCCTGGAGCCCAAGGGCCAGAGAACTCTTTTAAAAACAGGGTTTAGATGGTTATTACCCTGTTTTTGGCTTCAGCAACCATTTTTTTTTTTTTCAACGTTTATTTATTTTTGGGACAGAGAGAGACAGAGCATGAACGGGGGAGGGTCAGAGAGAGAGGGAGACACAGAATCGGAAACAGGCTCCAGGCTCTGAGCCATCAGCCCAGAGCCCGACGCGGGGCTCGAACTCACGGACCGCGAGATCGTGACCTGGCTGAAGTCGGACGCTTAACCGACTGTGCCACCCAGGCGCCCCTCAGCAACCATTTAGAATAAAGTCACAACTCCCAGGGCCTCAGGGTTTTGCTTCTGCCTTCCTCTCCCCTTTCTCACTCACTACCCACCATCACTCATGGAACGTGGTGCACGTCCCTGCTTCAGGGTTCTTATCTCAGCTCTTCCCTCTGCCTGAAATGCTCTGAGCCCCAGTGTTACTGGATTTTTTTTTTTTCCTCCTTCAGTCTTGGCTTTAAATATCACCTCCTCAAAGAAGCCCTCCCTGATCTCTCAATCCAGAATGGTTACCCTTATCTTCTCTCAGTGTCACTCTTAGTTTTCCTTCATGAATACAATTTATAATTCCCGTGTTTTTTGCTGGTGGGTTGGTTGGTTTTCTGGATCATGTGTATTTTCCTTATGAACTTTAGTCACCACCTCTGACCTCACAGGACATGCCTAATATTTCATGCAGGTAAGTAGAGGCGTAAATATTAGTTGAGGGAATGAGCCAGAATTTGTTGTCTGTAAACACTGTTTGTGGATACTTGACTCACGTTAATTCCGTGACTCCAGCCTATCCCCACAGTCACTGAGTCACTGAGGTAAGGTTAGTGGCTGGCCACTCAGAAAGAGAAAAGAAACCAGACTTTATAATATATGCCTTGAGGACCCTGAGAGTGAGGGGTGGTGACGGTAGTGGGCTGGAAATGTATAAAGTAGGGTTAACTGCCTCCCACCCTGCCCAGCACATTCTGGAAAGCTCTGTGAAGAAAACCCAAGGACTAGTCTTGAAAGACTTGCTGCCCTCTGTACAGATACTTCTTGGAGATGAAAATTTGCAGTTCTACATTAGAAATGGGATTTTTCCTCGTCGGTACTGTTTCTACTGATATTTGTCACCTTGAACATGAGTGTAACTGAGCCAAAAACCTCCTCTAAAAATAAGGATGTTGCATCACTACGTAATTCACGTCTGAAATAATGAGAGCAAACCCAGCCGGCCAATTCAAGTCAGGCAGTGATTAGACTCTAATAGAATTCACTTGAGGGGTGTGAAATACCGTTCTCGTGTCTTTGAGATACACAGGGTGGAGAGGGGTTGGAGAAATCACATTGTGCACTGGCCCACTGCTTCTGGTCCCCTTCCCCCAAACCTGCCACATACAACTACCTTCCTCCTAGACTTCAATTTTCAAATCACGTGCCTATCTCAATAACGAGGAAATTCTCAATACTAAGTATGCAGAGAAAGGAAGGATTCACATAACAACGCTACTCAAGAAGCCCAGTTCCTCGATCTGCTTCCCAATGAAATGTAAGGGTGACTCAACCAAAGCGTCGCCCTTCTTTAAAAAGAGAGGCCACCCCTTAATAAAGCTGAGCCAGGATGCCTCTCTGTGGGGGAACTGTTCACTACAGGTAGCCCTTCAGCTTCAAGTGGCCAGGAGCGAAGACGTGCCAACTCAATATCAGAATGAAACCTGGTAAGTAACCACCCAAGAATATTAACAGGAGCTAACGTGGGTCGTCTGCTTACTATGTGGCAGGCTCCGTGCAGACCATGTCCCAGGCTTGATCTCACTTCAGTCTCCTCCATAACCCCTTGAGGAAGACATCTGTTTTGCAGATGAGGAAGAAGGACGCAGGCCCCAGGCTCCACAAGTCCTCAAGTGTCCGGATATGAAGCCAGACACCCTAGAGATGAAGCCCAAGCTCTTAGCCCCTGCACTACAATCTCCCCCCTATTGGAAGGTAAATGCCGCCATTTATTTCTCATTAACACAGCTATGGGACAGATGAGAAAAAAACAGAAAAAAACTGGAGATCAACTACCAGAAGAGTCTGCCAACTGAAAATGTTTTCATTGCCATTAACGCCAGAGGAACCCTGCTGTGGCTCACCGTGTCGGGGTGCGACAGGAGAGGGTGCAGTATGGGACAGCCAGACGTCTTCAGTCTACTGGCGTTGCTATGACAAAGTATTGTTTTCATTAACAATTAGGACATTGTGTGAACAGCCAAGGAACACGCTGAGCTTTGGGGTCTCGCCCATATCAGTCACCCTATCTCTGCCAAACATGGGTCAGGGGACACTTTCTGCCTTTCCCGTAGCGATGCACCTGGGGGTGGCTCTGAGGTATCTTGCTCCCTCGTGTACTGCGTATATGGAGAGGAATGTCGCTGGAGAGCCACGTGAACACATGCCCCGGACGGGGTCTGTAATGCTCTCTTCCAGGATGAGGAACTCCATGGAAGAGAAAGGTCCCTTGGCCGAACCAGCCTGTTTCCGTTCAGGCTCTCTTTCCGTCCTTCTTCACCAGATTAGGGAACCTGAGTTGTGCAGGTTCCCTCTGAAGCATTCGGCTGGTTCATTTGCACCATTAATATGGCGGAGCTCAAGGTTTGAAGGGTTGTCGGTCGATCTGAATTCCCGTCAAGTCCCATTTCATTCTTCGGGGTTTTCAGATCTGAACCACCTCCATCTGGCATACACCTACCCTGGGTTCTCTGATTCTAAAATACATATTTTAGATTTTTATAGGCAGACAGTGTTCAAAATCAGTTCGGCTATTCGCCAAATCCAATGACGTTCTGGCTCTTGTGGAAAGACCAATCTTCCGTGAGTACCTTCAGACCATCTAGCACTGGGAAATGCTCAAGATGTCTCCCGGAGGTTCAGAAACTTCTCCTTGTTTCATTGCATTTACTGTTGCTGCTTTTGCTTCGTTCTGGTCTCCTAACCTTCCTGTAAACTCTATTTCCATAGGAATCCTGCTTATGGGTTGAGTTACATCCTTCTTTTCTTACAATGGCCCTTCTTCCTTCTGTTTTCCTGTCTAAAATGAAATAACGGGAGAAAACACAACTCTGTGTAGTACAGGACAGGGGGGTGAAAAGGCTGGTTTTGGGTCAAGAAATTTGGTTCAAATCCTGGCTTCCCTACTTGTGTGACATCAGGGGAGTGTTCCTTTTTCTTTCCTTTCTTGCGTTCTCTCCATTTTTCTTTGGACTTTCCTGAGCTTCAGCTTCTCATTTATAGAATGGAGGAGAGGGTACTAATGCCTAATAGAGGGACAAAGGAATCAATAGCTATAAAGCTTCAAACACCTTGCCCAGCATACGGCAAGTACCCATTTTCAGCATTTTCCGGACATCGGACATTAGACTGGATTTCCTAAGTCTGTTCATCTCACACAGTTTAGGAGAGCACTGCCTGTTTTGCTCTTCACGATAGAATAGTCCTTTCAAATGTGAGCTACATGGACCAGATGTGTCTAGAGCTGTCTACGGCTACTGCACTTGCATACTATCCCATCAGAACTCCGATGTGTGAAGTATGTCGGACGAACAGTCAAACTGACAAATGCCCTTCCCCTTTTCTGAGAGCTCTGTGAAGTGACTGTACATCCTTCCGCGATGGTGACTTCCTGCTTAGGTCTCAGCTTTACCGATCAATGCCCCTTCCATGCCTGATGGCAAAGACCTTGCACAGGCCTGTCTTATCTGCCAGAATGGTTCTTGGTTTGCGGCTTCTTCAACTATGCTCAAGGCTTAAACAGCACACGTGGATTCTTGCCTGTTTTGCCACAGTTCCTAACGGCTCCTGAAGCGTACGTGCTCCACCAGCGGAGGTTAGAGGTCCCTCCTTTACGAAGATAATAAAATTGGTTTTTAAAACTGAACTATTGTTTTGGGTGTTTTTACAGGGGGTCTTTTAATCTTAAATATTTGGAGTTTTACATTTCAATGCTAAATGTCTCGAGTTTGAAACAGGTTGAACTTTTTAAATGAACATCTTTATTTTTATTTTTTATAAATTTTTTTTTCCAACGTTTTTATTTTATTTTTGGGACAGAGAGAGACAGAGCATGAACGGGGGAGGAGCAGAGAGAGAGGGAGACACAGAATCGGAAACAGGCTCCAGGCTCTGAGCCATCAGCCCAGAGCCTGATGCGGGGCTCGAACTCACGGACGGCGAGATCGTGACCTGGCTGAAGTCGGACGCTTAACCGACTGCGCCACCCAGGCGCCCCTGTACATCTTTATTTTTAAAAGAAAACCTTTTGGGGTGCTTGTGTGGCTCAGTTAAGTGTCCGATTTTGGCTCAGGTCATGATCTCACAGTGAGTGAGTTCTAATCCCACGTCGGGCTCTGTGCTGACAGCTCGGAGCCTGGGAGCCTATTTCTGATTCTGTGTCTCCCTTTCTCTCTCTCTCTCTCTCTCTCTCTCTGCCCCTCTCCCACTTGCACTCTGTCTCCCAAAAATAAATAAATGTTAAAAAAAGAAAAAAATGAAACGCTTTTATTCTTTCAGCTGTATCTTGCCCCCGGATTAACCGATAAATAACTTGCTGGGCATCT